ATGCCGAAGTGCAGTACCGTACCAACCGTGGTATATAGTGGTACCAAATACCAGGCCCGGGGCCCGCAAGGGCCCGGGCCAGGACGCTAGCTTTACACTAGATATAATTGACTTTTTTGTGTATTGAAGATTTTACAAAAAAAAAATATTTCACACCAATAAATTTTTTTACATCTAACAGTTTGCTGCTAGATCTTACAGAGGTTGCCCCATTTATTCGTGCGAAAATTCCACAATTTTTCTATCCCACAGGCGGCGCTTTTTAAGTGTGAAACTTGGTCGATATGACGGCCCCTGTTCTTAACTTTAAGAACGCATCGCTTTTTACCCGATAAAAATACTTCCAGGCACTTTTCTAGGGTGATTTTATTTGACTAATTATTTTAAGCGTTCCAAAGTGCGTCAGAAATCGTAAATTCTTCAGTATAAAAGTTGTTGTCACGATGAAAAATCCTGAAAAAACTAAACGGTCAATGTCGGATGACTAAGAAGGGGTTTCTTGATTTTTTAGGACTGCAGGACCAAAATCATCGTCATCCGTTTTTGCACACTGCTGAGTTTTCTCAACAGGAAGCCGAAAAAAGTTTGTGGTTTCTAAATGCGCAGACCTACATAGGACATTTTTGCTATAATCCTTCCCAAATCAGTTTTAATTAGTCTCGGGATAATTGGTTCATTGCGTTTTAACAGTTTGACCATGCTGCATTGGGATTCGGGAATTTTCTGGTGAGTTAAGTGGCCCAACCAAATTTTCAGCTTTTTCGGGCGTTTAGCAGGGGGTAGATTTTCGAAAGTGATAACGATGTTAGACTATTGGATTTAATTTTAAAATGTCTACCATGCACCATTATATAAATTAATTGTTAATTTTTTTATGTGAATATAATTTAAGCTCCGTTTCATAACGATTCCTGAGGAAAATCGGCTGGAAAAATGTTTCACTATGTACATAGTACCTCTGCCTTATGTGAGCACAGTGGTCGCACTTTTTAAAATAAGTTTACATAAAAATCAGAAAACTATTTTTTGAGTTGCTCTACCCGATTTTGGCTTCAAGTTTGAATTTTATTTACCCGCCAGTGAGCACGGGCGTCTCAAATCTTCGCACGAATAAATTTGGCACCCTGTATCTGTTTTTCATGTTCAATTATTTTTGTATGAATTTCATTGGCTTACGCTTTTGTATGAATTTAGAGCTAACATACTGTGTAATTTTTAATTTTAATAGTTTGACTTTCGAATTTTAATTAATATGCAAAATCATGATTTTAGCTAAAACTTCATTCAAAAATTAAGTTAAAAGGGAAATTGGGCCCATTCAAGAAAACCTAACCGTTTGGGTCGACTTATTTCTGTGCTTGAGCAATTTAAAATTTGTAATTTGTAGGGTCAAATCGGAGAGGATCACTTCATACCTACCCATTTTTAGTTACAATTTCGACATATGTAAATTACCTGACACCACAATTTCTCCAAAGTTAGTATTTTTCTACATATTATACTTATTTATTTTTTGGGATCGTGGGGAACTCCGTGTATGTAAAGAGTTACTCCATTATAAATTTCTTGAAACCGAAAATATGTATGCCAACTTTACAAAAATTCAACGCGAAAAAAGCAAAGATGCCTCTTGGCAACTCAAATGTTCCTTGATACGGGGCCAAATTTAACGTAACCCAGGGACACACTTAGGTACAGTATAGGCAGAAAGTCTTTCCACCCTCATACTTTTTGCACGTAAAGCGTTATTTTCCTCGAGAAGCTTTGCCGAATGAACTGCAATTTTGCACAATTACTTATCACGATGTAAGGTTTTCAAACCTATACTTTGGATAAAGGGATAGCACAACGAAGGACACCGTGTAATTATATTCAAAATTCCAACAGGAAAAAAGTCTTTCCACCCTATGACTTCTTTGCACTTTTAGTTTATTTCTTCAAAAAATCGTCCAAAATCGTTATGCACCCACTTCATAGTTCATAATTCTTTCAAAAATTGCATTTCTATAAAGGTGAACTACTTGCTTGCCATTAATATTAGGTCACTTTACCTGAAAAACGCCTTACCACAGATTTCGGGTAAAATGTCGTGAAATTTCATGGTAATGGGCTTCGACACCAAAGAATTTTTGATAAACTGCTTATGAGGAAGTAGATATTTACCGGAACAGTCCGGTAGTGCAAACAATTTAGGATAGTGGCCAACCAGTCAGATGTTAGACGACTACAGATTTCGACCCCAAGAATCTATCACGCCGTCCTCTTTAAGATTCAGTGAGATCCTCGGTTACTGGTCTAAAAATCAACTGGAAATGAGGGAAAAATATACCTTCAAATTAATGTGCAAATTATAAAGAACAGAATCAAGGAACCTGGATTTAAAGGCCCAGCTGTGCGGTAAAAGCTATTTCTCTTCAAGGCAACTATGGCTATGCATTCGAAATTAGCTAAAAAGTACCTAAATCGGACCGTTAAAGAATGGAAACGCATACCCTGGACCGACGAGACCAATACGAACCTGTGTGGTTCAAATTGGGTCACTCGGGTCTGGAGACGACAAGAAAATACAGACAAGGTCAGGTATTGTACGCTAACCATTATGCATGGGGGTGGAAATCGAATAGTTTATGCGTGAACGTGGTGGAAGGGCTTCAAAAATTTGGATTGAATCAAAGGAATCATGGACTCCAACTACTATAGCGGCATTCTGGTTGGAATTTGATGATGACGGAAGGAAATTACGATCGGGGAATAATTTTATTTTAAAATAGGATGGGGATCATAAGCACAAATCAAAATTATTGAAGAATCGCTTGACAACAGAGAAGATTATATTCTTGGACTGGCTTCCACAATCACCGGACAGAATCGTAACAATCATCTATGGTCAATTGTGAAGCCCAAAATTGCTCAGCACAAACTATCTAGCTTGAAAAGATTAGACGCCGCCATAAAACTTAAATTGGAGAAGTTGGACACCTCTGTCACCAACTTATTTGTTGAGTTGATACCAAGAAGTGTTCCTGCCTTCCAAAAGGATCCAGGTGTACATGCCAAATGCTAATTTGATTGACAAAGAACAATTTTAAACAAATTTTAAATTAAAATTTAATGTGGGTGGAAAGACTTTTTTCCTATTGAAATTTTGGATATAATTACACTGTGTCGTTCGTTGTGCCACCCCATTATCCAAAGTATGGTTTCGAAAACCTTACATCGTGGTAAGCAATTGTGCAAAATTGCAGTTCATTCGACCAAGCCTCTCGAGCAATATAACGCTTTAAGTGCAAAAAGTATTAGGGTGGAAAGACTTTCTGCCTATACTGTATGAACTTAGGACCCTTAACTTACAATGCGATGACGCCAGCGGTCTCACTCCGATTTTACCGAAACCACGATAACGGGGGGTCTTAGAAAAACAATATATAACGTGTTTCAGAATTTTTCATAATGCTCGCGAGGGAGAAAAATACAGATTCTGGCTAACTAATTTCATCATATTTTCGTTTAAGCTTAAAATGCGTAGGAATGAACTGGTTTCCTCCGATTTGGACCCCACCAATTTTAAATTGCTCACACAAGGAAATAAGCGGACTTGTAGTTTTGTGCATATTTTCATGCATAGCCTACGAGGAAATTTTGGAATTCATTTTCAGCCAAATTTGGATTTTTCAAAGTGATGAAAATTTTTTAATTTGGACCCTATTTAAAAAATGAAAGAACATTTTTGCACAGAATTTATAAAAATTCAAGACTAACAACTTTTAAAAAATCCTGAATTGGCTGAAAATGTATTGAAAAATTCTGTCACAACCGTAAACACGAACATTCAGGAAAACGCAAATTACGGGTTGGGTTGTGTCAGTGTGTGAGCAATTCAAAATAATTGGTCGGGTAAAAATAGGAGGAAACCATTATATGTCCATGCATATTAAGTTTAAATGGAATTATGATGGAAGTCGTAAGCGAGAATCTGGATTTTTCTCCCTCGCGAGAAAATTTCACGGTCAAAATGGAAATTCTCTCTCACGGATTCCGTTATAATTTCGTTTAAACTGAGAATTATGAAAAATCCTGAAACACGTTTTCTATTATTTGTCTAAGTTTCCATAATTATCGTGGTTTCGTTACAATCGGGGAGAGACCGCTGACGTCATCGAATTGTTAGTCTAACGGCTTCAGGCCCAAATGCTTACAATTGTATATTTTTTTATTCTTACCGCTTTGTTCAATTTTAAAAGTATTTTTAGCCAAAACGTTGGCTTTTCAAAATACTCTATGTTTTTGAATATGTACCTAAATTCAAAAAATAATACAATAAGTGTTCTAAGAATTAAATGGAATTGAGTTTTGGGACCTGCATTTTCGGCAATTCCAAATGAGTCTGGCAATTTTTCAAATTTTTAAAACGGATAGAAAAGTATTTAATCACAAAGGGTTTTGGAAGCTTTGGGAAGTAAGCGAAAGTATGTCATATTCGCATATTATGCAACTTATGTAGGTGCATATAACTGAATTTTCTCCGTCCCGCTGATGTTTTCAAAAATATGGCTGAGTTAATAGCGCAGGTAAATTGTCACCATTTTCCCATGGAACTGGGAAAATAATGTGCTCTCGTATAATATTTTCTTCGTCGTTCCAGAATGCTCTAGTATTCTGGAGCGAACACGATAATATAATATCGAAGATATTGAACTTATCAGAGGGCCCGGCCCTGAAGCTCATACCAGGCCTGACAATTTGACGGTACGGCTCTGAAGATAGCTTAGGTAAGGCTACAAGAAAATCAGATGTTATCATCATGTATGATATTAATATGGTAAATCAGCCTTAGTCTCAGGATTTTAGGTATACAATTCACGCCGCAGCAAAGGATATACGTTGTGGTTTTAGGTCTCCGATAAAAGAAAGTGCACTCTACTTGTTTAGATAAATAATCCCGTAATCAAGCATTTCGAGCCGGAGCATATATTTATAATAACTCAAAAACAACGAAAATGTGACAACTCAGCAAAATTTTTAATTAAATAAAACATTTCTACATCGCTTGCACAATACTATATTTGATTGAAAATTAGTACGATAACCCAAGAACAAAACTATACCACATATGTAAAACACATTGAGCCCTTTACGCTTCGAGAGTATGAACTCGATTACAGTGTTTAACCAATTCTTGGAACCTGGCAAACTGTTTCCCGCAAAAGTAACACTCGCGCCAACTCACAGGATTGTGACGTTTCACATGCCAAGCTAAATTGACTTTTGAGTGGCTCTTGTACTCGCATTTGTCGCAGGTATGGATCTTCTCTTTATTCGCGGCATGCTTCTGGTCCACGTGACGCTTCAATTCTGATGACTTGGGGAATCTCTTGTCACAAAATGTGCACGGATAATTCCTCCGATTTTCATGCACAACGCGGATATGGCCTTGTAGAGAATCTCTTAACAAGGTAGCAAAACAGACGGTACACTGTAACTTATCTCGGGCAGATTTTTGCAAATGGGTCTTCTGCAAAATGAATATGCATATTGGTATTTTTTCCATACCTGTTCACTTTTATTCATTTCACTGATTATGATAGTGAATGAGGATGAAATTCTTGCCATTTTAATGAAAATGACTCAAGTATGAATGACTGTGAATGTTTCACTCCTTTCATTTTTCACCCTATGCGAAACACATGGTGCCAAGAATGAAACAAAGTTGGATCAAGTGCGACAGAAAATCAGGACTTTTGAATGAAAACTAAATTTTTGAACAGGTATGATTTTGTCATCACATATTTCTTATTTACCTCGTGACGTATCATGTTTCCCCTGAGGGCGTAACTCTTCCCACAAGTGGCACAATTGTACGGCTTCTCGGTCGTGTGGGTGGGAATGTGTTGCTCAAGTTGCATTCCTAATTTGAATTCTTTCTCGCAAAGTGTGCACCGAAATCGGACCGGGTTCTCGGCATGTTCAGCACTCACGTGTCTCGAAACATGTTGTTTATTTTGGAAGGTTTTCTCACAGCCCGGAAATCCACATGGCAAACGTGGTCGTTCACTCGTGCTGTGGATGGTTTTAATATGTCGTCGTAAAGTGGGCGAGTTGTGAAAAACCCGGCGACAAATTTCGCAAATGGGTCGTTTACGGTTAGTGTGAAGATTTTTCATGTGATGCGACAAGGCGATTGGGTTCTTGGAAATTTTTCCGCATATCTAAACAAAAAAATAGGGGTAAAGTGAGAACTCGAATGGTTAAGAATGCCTTAAATTTCATAATTGCACACCTTGCATTTCACTTTGGCGTCTGGGTCGTGTGTGATCACGTGCCTGGCAAAATCTTTCTTCCATCTAAACTTTTTAGGGCACGTGGAGCATGCAAATTTTCTCCGTGGTAAGAGATCCATTTCGCTTAGTGGGCTTCAAGCTAAAAATTATGTGTTTGACTTCTCTAAATTTATTTGTAGAGAAATTCTACCTGAATTTAAAAATTTAGTGGGGAAAATTATCAATATATTCCTCCACTATTTAACATTTTCTCCAGTTATTGATTGGCTACAAAAGTGACCAACTTTGTCCCTAATATTTAAGTTACTACGGAAGTTTGTTGAGTGAGCGTGAAAGGTGAATATGTACTGAATTGTGTATTTTGTACGTTTGACAAAAGGGTTGAATTTTTAACGATGGGTGCTTTAGATAAAAATAACGAACCACGCGAGACACCTGGGACGTGTATAAATAGTGGAATTATTTATGCGTATTACCATATGAGTATTTGCATAGTTATTTGCATAATTATTTGTGCGTATTTGCATAGTTGTACGCATTCACGAGGCATGAAGTTATTTACCACATAATCTAAACCGGAATTTCGAAAGACACAAAAAAATTGATCTTAAGATTTTCAGTCTGTCGGGGTGATTTTTTTCCTCTACAACTCAAATCTAGAGTTTTGGAAAATTAAAAAAAATTAAAAAATAACTTTTTTCTGAAAGGAAAACACTTTCAACCGATGTTGGATGCACTTAATCACCAGGTGTGACCGGTTCCGCAATTTTTATGCTTCATCACACCTTTTACAATTAAACAAATTTTAAATTATTACAAATTGTTTAAATTAGATATATTAAAAGTAGACAATGCAGCCATCAGGAAAAAAATAAATACAATAATAATTTATATTACCTTTGGTGAGATCGATTCTTTCACTTGTGTGTGCAATTTAATAAAGTTCAATGCATCTCGTTCGTAGTTTGTACAAGACTGGATAAGATTTCACTTCTTCATACACTACTGTACCCAGGAATTTATTTGCTTAAAAGAGATTACAAAGTTGAGGCTGTCAATAATATCACCGTACTGTTTGTTTTTACTGATATCTTTGTCTGCACTACTAAACCGTACGAGCGTGTGAATATTACTGTAAAATGGAACGAGTATAAATGTTATTTGCGTGTTTCTGTTTTCCCTGGTTTCATAATATTGATATTTATATATTACTTCAGGGAAGTTATTCGTAAGGGAATGTAACACAAGTTTGGTTTTGGGTTGTTTATTCTAACCATAGCCTCACCTGAGAAAAACAATAAAGTATGCAAATGGTAAACAGGAAGCTTACGTATGCACCTACTTACTAATGAATATGGGGTTTTGGAAATAATTGTTTTTCTTCATCTCCAAATAAATTATCTTAATTTCGTGAATAAGGGATCATGGTAATCGAAATCGGTTTGCGACATCATACACCTGACCCCAGGGGGAGGATCTTATCAACTTTTGCGGCTAATGTGACCACCCTCCTTGCCTTGGCGCCAGGTGGTGTGGTTAGGGCAGAATAACATTTTTTCTGAAATAAAACACATATCAATATGTAGGTATGTATGCGTAAATACATTACATTCCTAAGTATGTAAATGAGCTTATGAATTTTGAGAGGGTATGAACCTTAGAAATTCAATATCTACACCCCATCAAGGATTTGGGCTTGTATATCGTCGTTCTAATTTTTACGTAATCGGACAAACGGATATAACGATCTTATAAAGGGCTTTCACTTTCACCCCTTAATAGAGATGTTGTCAAATTCATATCTCAAGAAAAACAAATCATCCATACCTCATTTATGAGTCATACATATGATTTATTCATCGTTTCCATTGAATAGTTGCAGTGTTAAGTGACAACTTAATAATAAATACACCTGTTGGTCCTATGAATGTAAATAGTTAGGCAAATGGCAAATTACAGGAATGGTGATGCCCCTGCATAAATTGTGTATTTTCCATGGTATATTAAATATGCAGAAAAAAATTAAGGTTTGAACGTCTGACCAAGATTTTTTTGCAACTTAAAAAATTCCCTACCACTGCCACAATGGGCCAGGACCTATGATTTGGTGGCCAAAAATACATATACGCCGCACTTAAAATCATAAAAATAATTCGTTGCGTACAAATATAAAGTAAAGCATGGGCTATGTGATTCAATGTTAAGTGGCAACCTGGCACACCCCCAGGGGGTGTGCCCATCAACACCTTCTTTAGTTTAAGTAAACCCAGGCATGCGACATGTCATTCTTCTTGACTTTATGAGGGGATTAAGATGCAGGACACGAAATTCAAATCCACGCTCCTAGGGGATGTGGCCATCAACACAATTTTTGTCAAAGATAAACCCAAGCATGCGACATATCATTCTTCTTGGGTATATATAGGGATTCAGATGGAATGTATGAAATTCCAATACCACATTCGAATGTGGGCCACGCTTGGGCATGCGCAAAAATGGCACATGTCGAGACTACTAAAATATACTTTAAAATATTCTTTGGCTGAATACATTGCTAATGGTGTTCATCTATTATAAATGCGTCATTTTTTTCTTAAGATTATTAGGCATCTGTTATTGCAAATGATGTTGGCATATATAAGACTTGGATTCTCAAATTTTAGCAATTCTCGATCAAATTTTTAAATTCGAAGATTTTTAATAGTCACATGCCACACCCCCCGTGGGTGTGGCCCTTGTTGACTTTTATATTTTAACGAAACCATGTCGTGTGACATGTCATTTTTCTCGGCTCGACGAGGGGAGTTCGATTGATTGCTTAAAAATTACGAACCACACCCCCAGTGGGTGTGGTCCTAAGCGAGCCTTGGATTTTAGCGAAGCCATGTCGTGTGACACATCATTTTTCTCAGCTCGACGAGAGGAATTCGATTGAATGCTTAAACTTTACGAACCACACCCTCAGTGGGTGTGGCCCTTGGTGACTTATATTTTTAAGGAACCATATCATTTTTCTCAGCTCGACAAGAGGTTTTCGACGAAATACCTAAAACTGAGAAACCGCACCCCCAGTGGGTCTGGTTCTTAGAGAATTTTCGATTTTAGTAAAACCATGCCATGTGTTACATCATTTTTCTCAGCTTGACATGGGTGTTTCGACGGAATACATACCTAAAATCAGCGTTCAGCGACTAAATTTAACTAAACTACGTCATGTCATGTAATACATCATTTCTCTTAACTCAGCGAGGAAATTTCGACAAAATGATTAGAATTGCATTACGCAAAATAAGAAAAACCCGCTTCTAAAAATTTTAATTTTTCACAATTTATTGTTGCGCTTTTCAAAATTCAGAAATAGAGTACAAAGTTTCAATTTTTGAAAAACCTATTTTATAATTTTATTTTTAGTCATTTTTGAGAAAAAATGATTTTGTTCTTTCGTTTTTGATATAGCCTTACTTAAGCTTATAAAATACAACTTTCTGACAAATTTAAATTTGAGCTGAAAATGCACTCAAAACCGCCACAACCGAAAACACGAGCCTTCGTGAAAGCGCAAAATTACGGGTAGTGCTATTTCGGTATGAGAGAAATTTAATATCGGGGAAAACAACTTTAAGTCGCTGAACGCCACACTCACTGGGGGTGTGGTTTATAAGTTTTAATTATTCTGTCTAGATCCCCTATAACAAAACAATATATATATATAACAAATGGCATTGTTTTATTAAAGTCGAACAGTTTCTGAGAACCACACGCACTGGGGGCGCGGTTTCCCAATTTTAGATATTCCGTCGAGTCCCTCTTCTCGAGCTGAGGAATGTTATATATCACATGATATAGTTTCGTTAAGATCGAAAATTTGCTTAGAACCACACTCCAATCTGCCATCTGGTCGTACGACGTCCTAAAGTCAACCCGTCCCAATGCTATTAAGATAGGGGAACATCCTAAAGATGAGTTTTCGGCGGACATTGGGAGATCCTAAGGATGACTTTGGGACATCGTACCACCAGGTAGCAGATTGGGACCCCCTGGGGGTGCGGTTTCCCAAGTTTAGGTATTCCGTCGAAACCAGCTCGTCGAGCTGAGAAAAATGATATATCACATGACATGGTTTTATTAGAATATCGATAATTTTCTGGGAACCACACCAACTGGGGGCGCGGTTTCCCAATTTTAGGTATTTCGTCGAGTCCCCCTTGTCGAGCTGAGAAAAATCATCACGTGGCATGGTTCCGTTCAAATCTAAAAGTACCCGAGGGACACACCCACTGAGGGTGTGGCGTGTAACCCCTAGCCGGTGGTATTTTTCCGACATTAACTTTGATTTTTAGTTTTTGAAATTTAGCGGTATTCATTAATTATATTTTATAATTTCTTTGACGTTGTGACTAATTTCAAGGGGGTGTGAACGAATTTTTAAAAAATCTGGAAATATTTGGTTCGCCCATTGATCTAAGGTTTCCAAAACCACCACTCGGTCAACAATTTAGAAAGTAATCCGAGTAATTTTAACTGTCAATGTTGTTAAGCATGCCACGATTGGCCGTTAAACCTCCTAACAAGAAATGTCTTTAATTTAGACTCCTCTACCATAGAGGGTGTTGTTTTAAAATACTTTCCTGCTACCACATCAGTTTTCTGAGAAAGTCCAGTGACTGATTATACTTAAGGCATACTTGAATAAAAATAATTCAACTTAAATCGTCGACCTTCACATCCCCCTCCGTGTAAATAAATCGCCGCAAACACGCATACCGAAGTAGCATCAAACTCACTTTACCCCAACCACTCCCATCGCAGGAACGCTCTGTTTCACTGTATTTCATCTATAGATTCAATTTTGTGAAAATCTCATTTCCCCCAGACCACACCCCCACGAGCTAGGGGGTGTGGCACAACTCGGGAACACTTAATTTTACCCTATTTCATCTATAGATTAAATTGCACTAAGAATCTCATTTTGCCCAGACCACACCCCCTGGCGGCAAGGGGGTGGTCCGATTGACCCAAAAAGTTGATAGGATCCTCGACCTGGGGTTACATGTATGATCCCGGTGTTGGTTTTATTTAGCAACTTTTACTTTCACGGGTTTAACAAATCCTTTTAACAAAAAAAGACGTACAATCTGATGCACTATATGATTCCGTAAATTTTCAAACGTCAAAAAGGTGGACGATGTCGGGTCACTTTCGTACACAACAAGGCCAGAAGTAAACTATGATAGAAAAAGATCAGCCGGAACAGCCGGTGGCGAGTGGTGGCGCTCATTGAAACTTGTGTCAACTCATCCCAATGGTTTCTCAGATTTTCATAGTCTTGTTACTTCAAAGCCAGAGTTCAATAATTGATAGAATTTTTCAACAATGATAATGGACTAGTACTCTATTCATTCAGTACAAAATTTACCCCGTAGCTCACCTTCAGTTATTGGCCACGAAATCATGGGTCCTAGCCCATTGTGCGTCTGAATGGTAAGTATTAACTCAAAAACAACGAAGTAATAATTTACAATTTATTTGTGGGAACACTCACATTTCGTGTAGTTGATAGGGAAATTCCGGTTGAGTAGTAATTTAACAACCAGCTAACAACCTGTCGTTTCGCGTACAAAATCCGTCCTGAGTACTGGGCTTTACTCCTCGAGAGTACGAAGTCGATTACAGTGTGTTACCAAATTTGAGAACCTGGCAAACCGCTTGCCGCAAAAGTAACACTCGTGCCTCTTCACAATATTGTGACATCTCCTGTGCAGAGCTAAATAGTGTTCCAAGTGGCTCCTGTACCCGCATTGGTCGCAGGAATGGGTCAGCTCTTTCTTCGCGGTGTGTCTCGCCGCCACGTGACGCTTCAATTCTGATGAGTTGGAGCTAGGCTTTCCCACGGGACGGGATAATCCCGTCCCGTCGGGACGCGGGACGGGACTCGGGAAGGGACAAGATTTTTCGTCCCGAAGAATCTCGGGACGGGACGAGGTCATCCCGTCCCGGTCTATCCCGGTCGGGACGGGACGTCCCGAACTTAAATGTTTTTCTCAAAATTCACTCCCTTCATTGACAAAACTAACAATATCGTATGGAAATCATTCGCATGCGTTGACCCTACATACTGTAATTTTGTATTTTAAGCGTATGCATACATATAGTTACATGCACGTGTCTGATATTTTACCTTGAGCCAGTTTTTCATGTCATGCCCAACATTTTAAAATTTGGCACGGTTAGTTATTTCTTAATAATTCGTAATAATACGATCTGTTAATTTTACCCTAAGTTAATAATTCGTATTTACATATCATCTAAATATTATGTTCACCATAAAAAATCAACAAATCTAGATTTTAAGATTAAATAAACAATAGTTATGACTTTTGATATGCAGGATGTATCTAGTATTATGTACTAGCGTAGAAGCCCCTCTCCCGCCGGGCGATTAGTTTCACACCTTGAATACCAGTCCGCACCGGAAGTAATTAAATTAAGATTAACTTTCACTTCCGTTTCGGAAAATTACTTTCACTTCCGTTGCAGACAAACATTTCCAGCTTATAATATAGATTATACATTTTGAAATTATTGAGATTTGACCGGTCGGTGGGAGTGGCAACATGTCTTATGTAATTTATGTAGTTAGAAAATAAAGCAGCAACCCATACTCACAGCGAAGCTTGTTCACATTTATAAAGAGCTGAATTTCAATTTAAATAAAAAAAACTTCGGGATATCCCGTCCCGTCCCGTCGGGACAAGTCTCGGGACGGGACTCGGGACGGGATGCCCTCCATCCCGTCCCGTCCCGAAAGTCTCGTCCCGAAAATCTTCGGGACGGGACGGGACAGCGAAATCCCGTACCGTCCCGTCCCGTGGGAAAGCCTAGTTGGAGCATCTTCTGTCACAAAATGTGCACGGATAATTTCTCCGATTTTCATGCACAAGTCGGATGTGGTGTTTTAGGGCACGCCTAGTTAACAAAGTCGGAGTACATATGTGGCATTGTAACATGGCTCTGGCAGATTTTTCTAAGTGGGTCATCTGTAAAATTAATAGGGTTAAATTTAACGCCTCACTTATTTAGCTGAAATTTCCCACTTCATAAGATGGGACCTCCCACCGTCTGAACCCTTCACTATTTATGATTTTAGAACCACCTAATTAGCTACTGAGGTTAGACCCCAATTGATGTACTAGGCAAGTTGCAAATTGGAAATTTTTCACCTAGTTTTCCCCTCACCAAGCTGATTTACCTCATGAGTTTTCATGCTTGCCCTGACGGCGAAACTCCTCCCACATTTGGTACACTCAAACGGCTTCTCGGTCGTATGGGTGGAAATGTGCTTCTCAAAATCCGCTTTAGTTTTAAATGATTTCCTGCAAAGTGTGCACGGAAATCTGATCGGGTTCTCGGCATGTTCAATTTTCATGTGTTGCCCAAGACCACCCTTATTTTGGTAGGTGTTCCCACAGCCGGGAAAAGTACATGGAACACGAGGTCGTTCCCTCGTGCTATGAACGGCTTTAATATGTGCTCGCACATTGGTCGACCTGGAGAAAACCCGATGACACGTGGGACAACTGGGTCGCTCCCGGTTGCTGTGAATCCTCCGCATGTGAGCGTATAAGCTGGGTGGATTTTTAAAAAATTTCCAACAAATCTGAGCAAAAGCACGTGCGTAAATTGTGAGTCATGTGGACGACGGAAATTGTAAAATCTGTTTTATATAATTTTACAAATCTAAAAGCTCACCTGGCATTTCACCTTCGCATTGGGATCATGGGTGGCGAAATCCGTGTGAACGTCCACCTCCATGTTTAACATTTTAGAGCACTCGAGACGTTCTGATTTTTTCACTGGCTTGTTATCTATCTACATATATTCAGTTTTTTGGAAGTTTTTTTTTAGCTTTCTGATTTCTAGCTGTTAAAAATTATCCAGCCTGCAGCCTAACTTATCTTAAGTTAGAATCTGCAAGCTCAAATCACAAGTTCATCTCGATCCCAATTTATTTTCAGTAAAGTTTTTGCAATACTTTTAATACAATTTTCTAGCTGATTTATATAAATATTTGTAACAGCGGTGTGGAAGGTACCGTCTCATGTAAGGTGGCTTATATAGGATCGCTTTACTACAAAAGTTTTAAGAGAAGGGCATGATGACGTTACTGCTGGTTCGTAAATATATGTAGTCAGAAAAAGGTTGAATTTGTTCAACGAGGCGTTAAGAGACAAGCAACTTATATAAATAGGTACATATGTATATGCATGAACAGAAATGGTTGAAAAATTCCTTTCTCGTTGCAAAATTATTTTTGCTTTTTGCGTGGGGCCCAGCTTTCCGGCTTTCGCCTCACCTAAGAAAAAAACAGCCAGGATTGATTTTCAGAATATTCCTAATGTTGGGGACAGACTTCATGATTTGGTCGGAGATTTCCTACCTCCTTATCTGAGGTTGCCAGATAACTCCCAAGATTTACAAATGAATGGAAGGGGACACACACATAGAACACAAGGAGAGGACCACCTCATTTGCATATTTTGAGGCATTAGCGAGAGATATAGAGTGTATTCAATATGGAAAGCCAGTATCGCGGAAAAGGGGCATAGTGAGATTTATGCAAATGAGGTAACAATAAAATATACAAATTTTGATTAAAAACTAGAAATTTGTAACATAGGGAAAAAACGTTTTAAAAAATTTGCACTTATAAAGCGACGTGATCTATAATCGCCCCCTTAGACTCATAGTATGCAGTTTTACATACTGAAAGGTTAGGTTAGGTTAAAGTCTTATGGCATCTTGGTCGGCGAAGGTAGAGGTGAAATGGATATCCATTTTATCCAATCCATTTGGAATCCAATCCAATCCATGCATATGGATTGGATTGGATAATCAGAGATCTGGATTGGATTGGATGGATTTTTGGTTCTGGAAAAATTATGAATTTTCACTGTGACTTTCTGTATTGAAATCATAACCAGGACGTTATGTCATTCTAAATATTCTAAAATCTGTGTATTTATCTACGTATATTTTTAACTTAAAGCAGGCGGGTGTATTGCTGGTTTGGTCGGTAACATATTGGCATTTGAAAGTAGAGCCAAATTCACTAATGTTGGCATCTAGTTTTTGCCGGTCGATTGGCGGTCGTATAAACTAGTTTTGTTATATTAAAAATATAACGAAATTTAACAATAGGTGTGTATATCATGGTAGTATTTTTTAAAATATAGTTTTGCTGATTTTGTAAATATCCATGTCTTTACACTGGATTCTATTGGTTTAATTTAAAACTAGTCCTGGATAATATAGATTTTTTGTTTTTGGTTTGAATTGGATTGGATTTTTAATGGTTTGAAAGTTATGGATTGGATTAGATATTTTTTTTTACAAAATTTCGAATGGATTGGATGGATTGGATAAATTCAAACGGATTATGGATTGGATGGATTTTTGAGGACAAAACTAAAAATGGATTGGATGGATTGGATAAATCCAAATGGATTTTGGATTGGATGGATTTTTGGTAATCCATTTCACCTCTAGGCGAAGGGGTAGGATTCTCCGGGCAAATCAAGAAGCCTGGTTGGGAATGGATTTCCTGAGAAACTTGACTCCCGACGGGGTCCAAAATGATTGATTGTCTCATGCTAAAATTAAACTGGCAAGGACGCGAACCATGAGTATGTATTTGGAGGGATATTTCTTAAAACAAAACTTTGTGTTACGTGTTTCTAATGAAACCTTTTTTATGCATGCGTGAATAAATCAACATAGATACATGTGTAGATAGGTATGTATATTTGGACATGCAAACTAGTAGAATAATGTAATCTAACTGAAGAATAAAATTATACGGACAAGAAGTGGAAGTTTAGAAGGCAAAGTACGAAAATCTGCGGATGTCCAGAATTTAACACAGCAGTGGATTAGGAGCTAACACGGAAGCACGAATGGGAAAAACTCAAAAATATTCTTCTGGCCCTATGTTCGCAGGGGGTGGTCCCAGACCCCAAAAAGCATATATATTCTTAATCCACTCGCCGAGACCTTTCCAACGATGCCCCATTTATGAGGTGTTGTGAGACTTCAAATTTTCATAAAAAATTTTTCTAAGTTATTTTTTGAAATTTTGTTTTTCGAATTTCAAAAAACGCTCGATTCGGGTTGTAGAGAAAAAAATTAGGAAACTTTTGGTGAAAGTAGCATCTCGATATCTTTTTCCATCTTCGAGAAATCCGTGTCCCCGTTTGCAGATTTTTCGACTTTCAGCCCCTCCCCCGGGGAAAGGGGCGGAGTTGAACCAAAGTATTGGTATCGTTGTGCTCACAAAAATCACCTCTACCAACTATGCAAATATTAAGAAAATCAAATTTTTTTGTGGCCCTCGAGATTCCGGTTTTCATTATTGCTACTCGAATGCAAATAATTTTGCGATCATTACCATACTAAACGAATACTTTATGCATGCATAAATTATGTATCATATTATGGATATAAACTATGCACTAAATATGCTTATTTGAAAATGTGATTAGACTTTCCTTCACCCCCGATTTTTCTTAATCTTTTAAAACCACGTCAAACTTGTCTCATGCTCAATATTTTTATGTAACTGCATGAGCTATTTTGAACGTTGGTAGAATAATCGGCTTTCATGGAGCTTTGATAATTACAATTTGATAATACTGATAATCATATTTGATAAATAATTTATATATTTAAATATTGTTCAAACCTCCAGTAAAAAAACATATGCCGACTGTTATCGACTTCTATGTAATCAACTTGTTCATGTACATATTTATTAGCACGACCTCGTTTCGCATAAACGATGAACATATATTTAGACGAAGACGGATAAATCGTCTGGCTTTTTGCAATTGACAATTGTAAGCTCAAAACTCTTTCTTAGTTTCCACCGTTGGTAATAAACTTCCAAAATGGTCGTAACTGAGCTTATGTGGAAATCCATTGACAACTCGAACATCGTCTTCTCCTACTTGTGGGAGCGATCCTTCCAATGGGTTATCAAAGACAGGAAATTCGTCGTCATCCCATGGAAAAGGTTAATTCCATGGTTTCTGGTAAATCTTGTCCTTCTCCCCGCGAATAATATCTTCTGCCTGGTCATCCTCGGGGGACATCTATTTGGCGTGATTTCCCCCTCCTTTATCAATCTCGTCATCACAACGATAATTTTAGTTCTGGCAAGCTTCAGCTTTATAATGGAGACTGGGCTGTTCCTGTACCATCGGCTGTACGTGGCCTCCGTTAATGCTTTGATTCGTTTGGAAAACAGTTTACGAACTGGTAAATAACTTTCTGATACAAATATTCGCTGTTGAGATTATTAGGGAGATTGTGAATTAGGGGTTTTACACTAGATTGTCACGCAAACATACAAATTTTCGTTCGAAACTTGTTTATGGACATGCTCATTTAGTGCAGAAACTCTTAATTCGCAATCTCCGTATTAATTCATTTTTATGTATCTTCCGCAGGGATCAAGTCATCCCACGGGTTCGATCTGGTGGGACATCTACTAAACATTTTTGTCATTTTATTTGGCGTGTACCCTTTATTTCTTACACCTTGCGCACTTATTCTTGACTTCGATCCCTTATCCGTGATAATTGACCTCATCTACCCGCACAAATTGTCAAATTACACATCAATCTTCTTTCTATTGGCCAGGTCTCCGTTTCTATTTCTCGTATGCGTCCATGTCTGCAGGTCATTTGCTAACTTAATCAGTCAGACTACGGTACTGGTACATTTGGTGTTGAGTTGCATCGATTGCGTTGATCTGGGTGGTAGACAGCTTATGCGGGGTACTGTGAGATCATCCGACCTAAGCAGAAATTTGCGGGGTTATGTTCAAATACAAGTGCTCCTCGCACAGTTTCCCTTAGCCTCGTTTGAAACGATTGTTGCTTCCGTAATGTTGCTAGGACTGCTTGTTTGCGTAACGTGTAACTATGTGACCATCAAGATGCGTCACGTGATGCCCATGCCGTTCTACCTCTACTTTCCATCTGTTTCAGTCCTGACGCCGATCTTGATTAGGATCCTGTTGCCGATGGGAGTGACCGTTTTTGAGGGGGGGAATGTAATTAGGGGCAAAGTGTGGAAGTCACTGCTGGGGTTGAGCAGTGAGAAGAAGTACTTTAAGAAGAAGGTGAGGGGAGTTGGTGAGATTGCGTTTTATGCGTCATTTTTTCAGTATCGTTTATATCGGTTACAAAAGTCGACGAAAGGAACGTTCTACTCGGTACTAATTGGGCACACGATTACTGCCTTGTTGTCGGTTTAGAGTGGTGGGTAGTACATATTTTGTGATGAGGAGGCTCTCCTGAACCCTGATAACTTGTTTATCTATATTGTTTTATATAGTCTCGCATAATCTGTATCTGTTGACAAGTTACCAGTTATAAATTATATTAATGTTTCGATGTCAGGGCCCGGGCTGGGTATATTTGCGCCCTAGGCAAAATTTTTCTTGCGCCCTAACTTTTCCTCATGAGAAAAATTCCGTTAAAAATCTACTATTATGAACTATACATTTCAGCAGCACCTTACATATGTGTAGTTCAAAAATTACTGAATTACTAAGCTCAACAATTATTTTATTGTTGAAACTTATATTCGTACTGAAAGTCCAAATAATAAACCTCGCAGAAATATAAATTTGTATGCAAATGGTTCAACATTTGGAAGAACCATGAGATGAAACTAGGGCTTCCCACCGGACGGGACAGTCTTATCTTGTCTCGGCAAGACGTCTTGTGACCATTTAAATATGATACTTTCGTCTCGGAATTTATCAAAATTGAATTTAATAGTTGGCGCAATGGTGATATTTGTTCAATAAAATATAACTTGAGGGAGATTATAATTCCCTTAAGCTAAGGAGGACAACCCTTCACTGACAGAATCACCGATCTTGATGCCCTTTGGATATGTTGTAGTCCTAGGTGAGTCCTAGGTGAGCAAAAGTGAAGAAGGATTTCATTCAATGGCCCCATTTGCGTCCACCACACCCACTCAAAGGTGCGAAAAACATGAAAAATACCCTGTTTTCGTTCATTCTAAAAAACACCAAAAATCCAATTTTGATCGGATTTTCATAATTTAAGCATTTTTGTAATCTTGGATAGTTGCTTTATCATATCCAATAGTTAACTCAATTTTTTTGAAAATGAAAAAAGGCTTGAAGCCTAGTATTCGCCTTCATTTTTTCGCCCGAAATAATTCCGGGCGAAAATTTCAACCGGAATATTTCGGGGAGAGAATTAAGCTTGGGCTGAAAACCAAAATAGCGTCCTGAATAATTTCTGCATGAAAAGGACACGGTATTCACCTCTCGGAAGTTTTTGGCAGACACGATCTCAGCAGGGAATTAAACCAATTAGGTATTTTAATCATAAACACATTAATTAAAACGTTTAATTAAAGTTTAAGGGTTTTTAGAACTAGTTAAATAAATAAGAATTATATAACGCGTAATCTGAATATACAAAAGATAAATAGTGGGCCTCCTCAGACACACGAAAAAATCGTCGCTTCGAATTTCGCTTTGTTTTTCGCTTATCGATAGCATGGCCAAAATTATGAAAATTGCAAAATTTTGTTGCGACTTCAGCTAACCGACCTTAACCCCACTTATAAGTTGAGTTTCTGTTCGCTTACCCCAGAGCTCGCTTATCAGGAAGTAAGCGAAAAACGAAGCGAAATTTTAAGCGACGATATTTTCGTGTGTCTGAGGAGGCCCAGTGCCAAAATTTGAAATTGGCGCTTCAATTTTCGCCCGTAAACGGTTTTCAAGTGAAAACGTTTTTGGGTCACCTGAGCCAAAAAAAAATCAACAAAATTTTAATAATGCGGTATTTTAAATTTATTAATCCTTATTTCAACTATATGAGATAAAGAGGTATCAAGGATACAAAATTTGTACCAAAGTACTTTCGATCGTATGCACGCTAAATAAATATGTATGGTGAAAATTTATCCAACCTTGATCACATTTCACTTAACTCTTGATGCCAAAATGCTATGACACAACTGCATAGTTGTGAGTCGTCAATCAATGAGTGATCCGTGTCAGAGTGAATCCGTGAGTGAGATTTCTGCATAGAAATCTCACTCACGGATTGACTTATCCGATCACACAATTGTTAATCTTAGTTAACTATCTACTATAGTAAAATATGATATATTAAAATATAGTAAATGTAACTTTGGTAACCGGATTTCGCCTGACTCGAAAATTTTTAAATGCTTCCAAATACCCATAAAACTAGATCTTGTTATGTAGAAATTGCAATTGTAACAATTGGACTACCAATAAATCGAGTCTCTAGTTTTTTATGACTGAAATGAATGTGCGTGTATTTATGTATAGGTATGTGTATATATGTAAACCTTTGGGTGCTTCGCCGCACCCTCAGATTTTGACGGCCTGTGCAATTATTCTGGTTGCCCTCCCCAATGTCGGGGCCTGTTCATAGAATCATGCTCTCTATTCTTGAACTCATGTTAAGGTTCGAAAAGTTCAAGTTTATGAGAATGATGTTTTGCCCGGAAAAGAGATTAAAATTCTCGCTCATATTTTATCAGCGGTGCCTCAGCGCCTTAGACACCTGTTTGGCCTTCTTACCCCCCTCACGGGCCCAGTAAGAACGCGATGAGTGAACTTATTGTATTGCTTATTGGAGCAGACATGCATTTCTGTGAACTTGTAAAACCTCTTTTGCAGTTTTATATATGGACCTGTTTGGTTAATATCAATTAATTTGTTTCTGAATACAAGAATCCTTTGTGCGCCTTTTGTATAAAAATTACGTCAGGGCGCCTGCCGGCGTCCTCAGTACTTGGCGTTGTGAGAAATTGTCAACTACCAAATTTCAGGGCGTGCATGTAGATGACAATATTTATTTGTCAAAAACTACATGACGCACAAAATTAAAGCTAACAAGTTTATCAAATACTCCTCAGACCGTTTCACAACATTCTTCATAAGTTTTTTCTACTGACTATTCTATCTTTACGAATGTAAGAAATTCATTGATCAATTTTCGCAAATGTCGTTTTTATCTAGTGTACAGCCGGGCGCCTTACGGCGCCCTAGGCAGTTGCCTAGGCCGCCTGACCCCTAAACGGGCCCTGTTCGATGTTGTAAGCTTTTGATCCTTAGCTGCAGCACTGATGCACTGTTAAATATTAAGTAAATTTAGGTAAATTTTACCGGTACCGACTACATACATAAATACAATAATACTTTAATCAATATTTCACATTTGATGTACATATGTACGTATGTAATGACCGATTTTTGCTCAGAAAGCATTTAATATTAGAAAATTCAAAATATTATATGGAATGTGCTGAAATTGTTCCACTTTCACAACCATAATTTCGTATATGCGTAGACAAAGCATTTAAAAAATTTACTTTCCCATAGTTTTTTAAATCACTGCGAATCTCACAGCTCGCAGCAAATCATCACTCAAAATTTGCAGTCGGTTTGGCAGGTGTTTTTTTTATCAGAATATGCAATTGATACATATTTCTATACATGCATTGTACATACGATTTAGGAAAAAAATATTTATAACAGTAAATTAAACTATGCAATTAAACATTTGGAGAATTCAAGTCAACTGAATAATTGTCGTATTGCTAAAATTTTGTTTTCGTATTTATCCCTCTATCCCTCTATTTATCCCTCTATGTAGATGCATAAATACATACGCAAGTTCTGCATACGCAAGTTCTGCATTTCCATCATCACGTACATACATTCTGCCCGTATTATTTTGCAGAGAAATGCTTACATTTGCAGTATGCATGTACAGAATAACAAAGTACTAAATATATGTACAATGTACATGCATTCGTGCGTATGCAATATGCATTGTGGAGGAAAGGATTGAGATCATTCTACCCTTTCTACTAATACATACATACATCTAAAGAACGAGTTATGTTGCACGTACACTTTTCTACCCTTCCAAAATATCACCACCACCAAGGATGCAAAACTGCAATGCAACTTCATGCAAGGAAACGCATCTCGTTTATTCTCACACGGCGTAGTAGGTCTTTCAACCAAGGCGAGTTACTGACCGGAATCACACACGCTTTTACATATTTAAGCCCGTGGTTTAGACAACAAAGACTCATTCACAGATTGTCTCTTCTTGAAAGAACACTCCCATATTTTGAAACTCGGAATAAATTTAAGTATTTTGTCTTGAAAAATATTTACAAAAAGTGGATACATATTTCATAAAAGTATTTACTTAACAAAACGAAGTTGTTAAAAAGATTAGACTAGCAAAGTGTGAAGTTGACGTGTTTTTTTCTGTGCATTCACATGCGAACAAAAAACTGTAAAATATTTACAAAAGTAAACTTTTGTATTGCTGATAATTATTATTAAAATTTTTAAAAGTGGGTACATACCAAAACCAAGTTTCACAAATCAGACTTATTTACATATCCTCGCAAAAGAATTAAGTTGGCGTGATTTTGTGCATTCACTTGAGAACAAAGAAGTGAAAAACATTTATAAAAGTGCATACATTTTTCAGATATTACCATTCAGTAAAATTATTTACTTAACAAAACCCATTTTCACAAATTAGACATATCCACAAAGTAATTCGAGAATATTTCTTACATTTTGTACATTCACATGCGAACAAAAAAGTGAAATATTTGTATTAACAGAAGTGTATATTTCTGATTGATTATTTCCATTAAAATTAAAATACGTATAAAACCCAAATTTCAAGATATTTAAAAATCAGACTTACGTAAAAGCAGTGATTTCTAAAATTTCCAAAATTTTGCGCATTCATATGCGAACTAAAAAGCGGAAAAAATGTGCAAACCAAAGCATCCCAAGATAACCAAGGGGTCATCGTCCCACTCCCTGAATAAAACATTAGTCTCCCGTAAAAAGTGTCCCCCGATCGAACCCACCACCAATTTCATCCTGGGGTACGGCTCCTTAATAAATCCAGACTCCAAAGAAGTCACGCATCCCGGATGTGGCCCCTCAGTCCCCGTCTTGGTCAAAGGTTTCAAGAGAATCTTCAACTGTGCTGGACTCCTGTTGGGGAAGAAGACCACATTTCTTGGCGTGGAAGAGGACAACGCGTCCTATTTCACTGGGGTGGCATTTCCGGTCAAGAGCAACGCCACTCTGATGGAATTTGACCAGAGGGAAGCGCATTACAAGAGGAAGCTCGTGGCTGAGGAGAATGTCAAGTTTTTGGATGACGAGGATCACATTAGTGATGGGAAGTAAGGATTTTTAACAAAATATTGGGGGTATTCATTGCGTGCAAAAAAAACAAAAAAAAGTTCGCAGGGTTGGAAATTGGTTTGGAAATTCATTTGCAAACTTGCGAATTTAGTTAGCAAAAATAGTTTCAAAATTATGTAGCGATGTGAAAATACGAACTCGCAATGCATACCACGAACATGTTACCAATTTTTAAGAATGAGGCAATTCACACAGACCTCGGTAACAATTTAAAATCCGAAAATTCTGTAAACTTTTAAAAATTTTGCTAAAATTTCTAAAATAAATTAGCTTCCAAATTTTTGCAAACTTACTGACAAATACCTGTGGTCAAGGACCTATTTTTATTTGTCAGATTATTTTATAAAATTTACAATTTACAAATGACTGTATGAACTGTATTGATATCTTAAACATTGTCTTTTTCAAATTTCAGAAATCTTCTCAGATTCTGGATTTACGTTCCGCAATCAAAATTCGTCACCAAACCGAGCAAACCACATCCCATTTACCAATCCTACTTTGACATTTTTGTCGATGGCTGTGTCAAAATTGGGAAGCAGTTCGAAATACGGAACTTTGCGCAGGAATGTCTACAAAGTACGGAAGGCTGGTTGGATCCTTTCTTTGGGGGGAAAAATTGCTGGGAGTTTGACCGCGATGAGGGCATCGACAAGCTGAAGATTGTCCACGATACGAAAGAAATTGATGAGGAAATTATGTTCTTTGTGGAAACTTACATGTTATTTATTGGCCACAGAAAGGAGGACGAGATTGAATATATTTTAGAGAAATGAAGAAGTAAATAAAGAATCTCATTTTTGTACAAAGTTATTTAAGAAGAGTAAAATGTGTTCTGTTCGCTTTATTTTTGTACAAATTTTGCAAATCGTCCGTACAGAATTACGTGACAAATAACTGTAATACCACTTTTAATATGTACATTTGTTAATGATCATCCTCATAAAATTGACTAAAAATATCAACTTCAAAAAATTTACTCTACAAAGATCTGAACCTCTCTTTTGCAAAAGCACCACGATAATTCCCTAATTTGACCGTCATAAATTGTATCACGTGAAGTAAAAATGATGTTACCATTTTGAAAAGTATTTACATAAATGCATTCTGAATTCAATATTAAGCACACTTTGATTTAGTAAATCCAGAGTAACGTGACGCCAACGTGATAAAAGTATAGTTTTAAAAAATAAGGTGAACTGAAAATATGTACATCCAAGTTACATTATGTAACTTACATACACGTATGGTATAAATACCACATGCTTATCTTGTCATGGGAGCATATGGATGGAGAATAAGATGAGACATACATATGTAAAATAAAATTGTGCACGCACGCACTGACATTGCAATAAATGACCATATTTGTACAACTCCACTAATTTAACGGCGTAATTGGTAAGAATTATGAATAAGAAACACTAATTGGCAAATTATGCTCTCGAATAAACGTCTGAAAATCGTCCGTCGTCCCCTCGTTCATCTGTTCAAATTAGCATAATATAAACTCAAATCCCTTCCACCTGTAAACTAAATTATAAAACGTACCCAAAATCCAGTAATAGCTACGCTTCGAATTTTTCGCATCGTCCTACATGACAGGAGGATATCTCGCATCTCATCCAACAGTCTAAACTCTCCATGACCAGTAAATTGAAGTGACATGCTCGTCACACTTGTAAAATTTTATTAAAGTCACTTCTTAAATGTTAATTATTACAATAATTACAGATCAAATTGTGTGAAATTATAACCTCTCCATCCCGCCATCCCTCCCAACACGGCAATTATCAGTTTCGAACCGAACTCGTAATCATTATGGCCCTCAGGAAAAATCTCAAACTCCACCTGACCGCTTGTCAACTCCCAATCGCCGAAAGATTGTAATATTCCCATCAAACCCAAAAAATACTGATCAAAACCCCCTTGAATAATTAACTTCAATTTCAATTCCTTCACGGCCGGGAAGAGATTGACCAGTCTTCCGGCAGCTTCTCCATCGTCGGTGCGATTCTTGAATGGACAATGGACGCAAGACAGATCAAGCGACGTTATCCCAATGTGACGCAAATGGTAGGGTTCATCCATTGCAAAAATGTCGAAGCTGCATAAAGGAAAGATGCTCGACATGGAAAAATGTGTCACTTTTGGGAGATTAGTGACGTTCAGTGAGTCCTTAATGATATACGAGTGGGCATTATTCAGTCCGAGGTGGGTGAGATTAGGGAGGTGCAAATTCACCTTAAAGTAAAATATAAGCTGTATATATAAATTAGCCCTTTAATGAGTACGGTTGACTGCGAGAAAATGCATTAATTTGGGCAATAAGTATGGTGTAGTCGTAAACGGGAAGAGGAATTTAGTAGTTTTAGTGTAGATAACTCGAAGAAAATGAAAACATTGCGTTAAACTGGGAAATGTCAAAATTTTCGGTAAGAAAATGTTTCGATTTATCAATTGGTTGGCATATTTATGTAGGAGAAGTATGTACATATAAAAAGACAACCGATTTTTCTCCACAGAAAGAAAATCGTGTAAATCAGACCTCCCAAAAACGACAATTGTCTTTCTTTCAAACTATAGCATTTTTTATGAAACGGCAACTGTCTTCATTACGAATCAAAGGGTTAAACTTAAGTAAAATGAAAAAATCTGTAAGGATTTTACCTCTTTCAGGGATTCATACCAACTAGTATGATCCAAGGTCAAACTTTCCAAAGAATCTCGACAACTTTCCAGCATTTTCGTCATCTCGCCGGTTTTGAATTGTAAACCACTACGAGCATCATAGTTGAACCGCAAGTTTTTGAGTTTTCCGCATGCCTTCATGTCCAAGTAGAAATTCGCGGTAAGGTCGACTTCTTCCAGGTGGGGGGCCGAGTTGACCAGGTTTTGACAGAAGGTCATCACGCCCTTCGACCAGTATTCCCGGCAAATGGGCGAAATTTCCAAGAAGAATGCTTTGAGATTTGGGAGCGGTCGAAATTCAGCCGTCTCGACCTGCGGTGGTGGTGGTGGCACCTTTCTACCGTGTTCCTTTCCGTTAACGGTGATCCAGAGGTGAGTCAGGTTTGAGAAATTAAAAATGCACCAAATTTCCTGCACTAGTTCAAACGCCTGGAGGTTGGAGAACTTTAGGGTTTCCAACTTATCAGAAATCTCGGGCAAAATTAAGACAAAGTTGGGGGGCAGATTAGTCACATTCGGGGGACATGTACAAGGGTAATTGTAGCAACATTTAGTGTCCTTGTAGAATTGTAATGCTATGTTCCTGGCTAATTCGGGATTGAATGAGGTCAACTCTTTACAGTTTCTGGGGTTTGGTGGTATCGAATAGGTGAGAAGGGCCTGCTTGCCGAGAAATGTGGTGCCCACGTCGGCCCAAAGTGTGCAAACGAGGCGAACTGACTTTAACGTCGGGGTGTCCAAGGAGGAGAAGACATTGTACAGAATCTGAAATAATAAATACATATTTATCGTAATTGTGACTTATGTATTGTCGAATTTTTATAGCCGGTCATCTCATTTGCATATTTTGACGAATAAGCATAGAGTTTATTCAACATGGAAAACCCATATCGCCGAAAATGGGCAGAGATTTATGCAAATGAGGTGACACGCCAAAATATAAGGATAGTATGTTCCAAGTTGACTTTATATTTTGCAGTTGATCAAATATTGCTAATTTTTATAAGTCGAAAAAAATGTCGATATTGCTCATTGCCGAATATGGATTTATGAAGTAAGTAATTAATTAAATACCAGAGGATTGAACAAGGCCTTCATCCCCACTTCGGCATCGATGTTGGCGACAAGGTTCAAATTTCTCAATTGGTCAACCTCGGCCTGCATGCTGGTAGATCAGTAGATGCTACTGCCTCCTTGTCCACTAAATTGATAAACTATTAATTACAAATTGTCGTAGACGGTGCATTTGAAATAAATATTGAACATTTTAATTTGACATCATGTTCAATATTATAAGCAAATAATTTATTACGTACAAAACAATAATCCAAAACAAATTACAAGTCAGACCTTATTAATTTTCTTCCGCAAATCACGAGGAGATTTTGATATCCAACTTTTTTCTTCGGCCAAACAAAGCAGCACAGTGAGTTTCAAAATAAGTAATTAATTTCAATTCAAAGTACAAACTATTAACAACGTCAAGAATACAAATGTGAAATGTATTGTCAGCTGGGGTGGGTGTTCTAAATGCAAACTGCAGGGTTCGGAAATCCCTGTGGTTTTTGTAGAAAAACACAACCCGGTGGGTGTCTCCGGGGGTTTTAGGGGCTTTTTGCAGATTATGGGGCGGGGTTGACACCAAATTCCTAACATTACATACTATTATTGGTATTAGATTAAAACTAATTCAATATTCGTAGTTAGCATGAAATTTGAAGTGTTTTCATTGACATGGATTTTTAAAGCAAAAAGTAATGTTTAACATATGTAAAAAACCGAATAATAAACCAGGAATATGTAATGATTCTTGGAAGCAGGGCTGTTCAATTACCAATGGAAGTAATTTATTCTTAATTCTTAATTACTCCGACTGCGAAAATTGGAATTAAGTACTAATTACAAATACTTCTTTGTCCAGTAATTGAACTTAATTATCAATTACAATGACTTTGCAAGCATGTAATTGACTTTCAATTACCAATTACTTATTAGTAATTGAAAGTCAATTACTTAATTACTAATTACTTAATCCTCATACTTGAAATTAATGAAACGCTATTTAGGTTAACTTTTTCGACCAAAGAATTCATTTCCGAATAGGATAAAACTTTCATAAATATCTTGGTACAGCAAGCAGTTAATCTATATAGTCCAAAAGTTTAAAATTGCTGTGGATCTTTACTCCAGATAGATAATGGCCTTTTCTTCCCACAATTACAACCATAAAATTGTTAATGCGTACATGTCTATCTATTTTATTTTACCTGACTCTGACTAATGAGATTTCTTAGGTAATTTTCGCAGTCCATGGAACACAACCAGTTGAAACAATTGTAATATAAAATTGTAATAAGCTTGAAGTGCAAAAGCTGAATGGGAATGACTACCAAAGCGTTCACAAGAAAAGATATTTACATATTTCGAGTTATTCGGGAGAGTGAGACTTGTCGTATTTCATTCCAAGTATTTTCGATTAAGTAATTGATCAAGGTAATTGAGTATTCAATTACTAATTACTACTTGGCCAAGTAATTAAGTACTTCCAATTTTAATTACTCCAGGTCTTCCAAGTACTTAAGTACTTAATTACTTTGACAAATACCGGAGTAATTGAAATCAATTACCAATTACTAATTACTTCAAGTTAGGTAATTAAGTAAGTAATTAAGTACAAAAGTAATTAAGTACCACAGCCCTGCTTGGAAGTTCAAGTCGCACATAAAATGCTTAAACTTTCATGCTGAATCAGAAAATTTAATTCTCATTAATTTAAGTTGTAATGGGAATAATCGTAGTTCAATCTACAATAACCACAACCCACAAAAACTCAGGGTAGCGAACCCTGGAACTTGGAAGGAAGTAAGTTTGCTGCATGCACCACAGGGAATTTTTCGAGTTGCTCAAATTTCCCGATAAATATGTATGTATTCGACAATTTATGACAACAAATTTTTTTCAAAAATGATGACTCATCATTCGAAAATGTATACTTAAGATCAGCCTAAGCCTAAGTATAACGCTTATTTTAACGCTTATTTTTTTGACACCCACCACCCCCTTTTAACTGGCGTCACATACGCAAAATTTCATTGGCCCTGGACCACTCACCAACATTCTTGACATTATGAACATTACGAACGTTCCCTTTCTTATCATGGGGAGAGATTGGAGAATGAGAGGAAAATTTGCTTTTTGCTGGATGAAATTCATACGATAAAATTGTGCATGCACTGCCCTGTAGATACTTAAATGAACTGCACAAATAAAGAATGAGCATTGTCATGGTTTGGGGACGTTCGTAATGATAACGTCCTCACGGCTTCCGCGGCCACTGGTTTCATGAACAAAGATAATCGTCACTCTAAAAGTCTAAACTGAAGAAGTTGAAGAACACGAACCGAGATTCTGAATCTCAACGTACCCCAGCAGTTCGCACATCGTCAATAATTTGCAGCCAGGTGTTTTTTTGATCCATACACATGTCACATGTATTTTTTTCGTACTTGCAATAAAAACAGGAAATTGGCCACTTTATCTGAAATGTTCGTGAGGTATGTTTCACGAAGTTATTTGTTAATTTGCCAATAAAAAATGTCTTTCAATTTTTGCCGAATAAGCAATTAAAGCTGTTGTATTTTAAATTATACAGAAAAAAATCGCCGGAGCCAAAGCCATCATCAAACTTCACCGGAGGGATAAGTCCTTCGAGCTTTTGTAAACATTTAAGAATTAAATTAATTTACTAAGATTTAAAAAGCTGTTTCCTGTCTATTTACATTTTTCATTTTTAATTTAAAATTCTAGATGGGCTAACTCCGCCGGAAACCTTCAGTGGCAGTGCCATGTCGAAAGCTTTAATGAATCCGTTGGTGAGTCATTCGTCTACATTATTTCTTCTTAAAATGTAATCTTTCTTTAACCTTCTCATTCTAAATTAACACCAGATTTTCGACATCATCTCCTCCCATCTTGATGTACCCGACTTGAAGAATTTTCGCCTCGTTTGCCACAAGGGGGCCGACGTCAGTTTGAATGCATTAGGAAAGCGAACCCGTCTCCGCGTCACGCAGCTTTACCGCTACGACGGGTCAAATTTATACCAGGCGAACCACGTCAACGATCAACTCTGCCGGCGCCTCGTCGTCAGTGACAAATCTGATGAATTTCACCACCACGTCCCCGACAACAAGATGGTAGCCGTCATCGTCAAAGTGATCACGGACGTGTCCCCAATCACTCGCGATATCGAGTTTCGCCTCAGTGAGGAGAAATTTGTGACCGCTTTTCTCATCGGGATGAGGCTACTCATGTCGAACAACATCCGACACATTTCGGTCATGTTGGACTGCTGGTTTCCCGACAAAGTTCCAGCTCAAATGCGTCGAAAACTTCCGGTTCAGGCTGGGTTGACCTCGCTCAAGTTGCACTACCGAGGTCAGTGTTTCCTTGACGAAGACAACCTTGAGCAGTGTATAGTGTTCCAAAACTTGATCGATTCTGCGCCAAATTTGACCTTTTTGGACTTCGCGGCACCGTTCTATCCTAATTTGGAGGGGTGTAAAAATCTCCAAATTTTGAAATTTCATGCAACACATTGTAACCACACCGCCCGGTTGGACTTGGTCGCTGTGTCCGAGATGTTGACACAGGTGAAGGATTCCTTGATCAGGATGGAATTTCGCAAAAGCTGCGATACTGAGGTTTCGGACATGACACAGGTAAAAATTTAAAAAAATAAAAATAGAGCCAAATTTGTAAATATAAGAGATTGATAATCTTTGAAGCTTGTAAAAAAAAACCTTTATTACAACCACTGGACCCCACGAATGGGCCATTACCCAGGGAGGGAGAAGAGTACCTGAGCTTGGCAGTGGGGAAAAACGAGAAAAACCCACTGCAGGCACTAGGACTTGAACCCAGCACCTCCATTCAGCCCACTCAGGTGGACGGTAAGCAGGACGGCATTTCTGCCACTCCGCCTCGTCACCCTTCTCATAATTAGCGTCATAAGCAGAAGCAGAGGACGGCTAAATATCTACGAAAAATCCATGAAATGTACGAAAAAAACGCCAAAATTTCTACAAAGAAATATATATTGCTTTCAAAATCTTTATGTTTGAATTTACCGCTCTGTACGAACTGTTTCGTGGTTCAATTTCTTTGAACAAAAAATTTCGCCAAGAAAAACAATCAAAAATTGTCGTAACTAGAAAAAATCACCTGGAAGAAATCACCTAAGAAAATATCTCCTGTAAAGAATCACCTATCGAAAAAATCACTATCGGAAAGAATCCCCAAGTTAATAAATTATAGAATAGATTTATTCTAAATTAATACAGAAACATTAGAACTAGTCTGTAAAGTTAATTTTTTTGAAAGTAAAAATGATCTCGCTGGAAGATATTTTTAGACTGATGGTGATTTTTATTAAACAACTTGGTTTTAAGGTTTTGACAGTACATAGGAGACATTCATACATATGTAATAATATGTGGTCAGAAGTGACCATACAAACTACGCAGAGTTATGCTCAAACGAAGTGTCCCTTCTAATGAGGCATAAAAACAAAAGGACCCTTTTAATCCCTTGTCCTGGGAAAAAGGTTGGAAAATGCTCAGCCCTCATAAAAGTCGACAAACTTAAAAATTGATAAATATGGAAAACTTTGTTAACATGCATATTTTAACATTTTTCACTTTCTTGTTGTATGTATGTACATTTTCTGAGTATTTACATACAATGTAGTAAAAAAAACACGAACCTTACAGGAATTCAACAAACTCTGGTCTCTCTATTTAGAGTAAATCTATGTATAATTTATTAATTTGGGGATTTTTTCCACTGGTGATTTTTTCGATAACTGATTTTTCCATGGGGGATTCTTTCCGGGAGATATTTTCTTACGTGATTTCCTCCAGGTTATTTTTTTTCGGTCGAAATAATCGCATATTTAAATATTTATGTATGTCGGAAAATATGGAAAATACTTTGAAATTTTTGGAACGTATGTATAAAAGTTAGGGATCACGCCAAAGTTTTGTCGCCAATCGTCCTATGTCATGTAAACAAATTGAAAATACATATTCGTCCCCTGGTCATAATTTCTTTGTCAATTTCAGAATCCTTTCGTACCTCCCGTAATGTCGAACCTTGTCTCTCTCACCCTCCATGGTTGGACTGGTGACCTTTTGCCACCCATTTTTGACAAGGAGTACCTCGGCCAGCTCCCAAAACTGAGAAATCTCTCCGTTACCAGCATCACCGGCTCCACATTGGACCTCAAGTAGTCAACTAGTCCAACTTTGTTCCCACAACGGCATCGAGTTGAATCTCTCTCCATGAAAGTTAGTTGGCCCTCGATAGACGTCAATATTGCTGGAAGAAGGATCGTCCAATTATTTCCGGCCGTTAAGAAATTTGATTTAACGATGGAAACCACTATCCAGCACGTCAAACAGATGATGAAACCCTTCCAAATGTGGGACCTCGAGGAGACCAAGGTTACCTTGAGATGGATCGATGAACCCGCTTTGTTGGTTGCAGTCCTTAAAAACATGTCGATTTGGAAGGGTATTAAAAATGTTGGGGAAAATTTCTGCAGGTATATTTAGTTATTCTATTTATTTCAGGGGTCAAGCGTGTCCAGTTTCACGTAGTACGCATCTCGGAGGACGATTTTTCTCCATACATTCTACGTCTTATCTGCTACAGTGAAGGATTTGAAAGCGTGGAAATCTTGGGGGTTGTGGTACGTCTGTATATATTAAAAAACTGTAAGGTCATTAATTTTTCTAAGATTCGAATTTGTAATAAATTCAGGTGCCGGACGTTGTGAGACTGATGCGACCAATTTTTGAAGCTAGTGGTGCACCTATTACTTTTAAGGGAGGTGTGCATCGCGAAAATTAATATTGAGAAGAAAAACCTTACTTGGTAAATAATAATTAAGTAATTAATTTGGGTTGGTTATTTGATGTTAAAATTTCTCAAAATAATAATACATATGTATGTATGTAGCAGATTCATATGTAAATATGTTTGTACATATCGTAAATACATAATGAGGGTATTCATTATTTCTTCGTATCCTTAGTATCGTAAAATAGTTTACGAATAAACAAACAAGGAGTCGAATATCGTAAGCGTAGTAACGTGATTTTTGGTGACAAAATCTTACGACGTTTTCAAAATCTTGTCACCGTCGTACGATTAGAAGAATATTGGTACTAAGGATGCGAAGAAAAGAGTGCCCGTTATTTATAACCTTACGATTACTCAAGTATATATTTACCTTTTGAAATTGAAAATTCAACAAATTTTGAACAAATTATAAACATTTTTCAAAAGATGTAACAAAAAACGGAATATAAACAAATACCTTAATATTTTATATAAGAAGTTTTATGGTAATTTTACAAATTAAATGAATCATTTCTTAGTGTATTATTTGAATCTTGTTGTCTGAAATTAAAAACTTGATAAATTTTGAACAAATTATAAACAATTTTCAGAAAATAAAGCAATAAACGGAAAAGATTATTTAAAAAAATGCATTTTGCCTCAATTTAACGCCTCCTTCTCGGCGTGATGACATATTTCAAGAGCGGAGCACGTGGTGGGGGTGATTTTGACCTCTTCAGTCCCCCCGTGACGGTGATTCGGTGGATGAGATAGCTGCTCCTGCTTCGCATGGATCGTGGCGGTTAGGGGAGTTGGTATCCGGACCAGATGGGGATGAAGTGGTCGAGATAGGAAGGTCATCGCTTATCAAGATCGCGACTGGGTGGGAATGACCAGGACGTTCTGGATGTTGGTGGAGGGTCGCGCAACTGTAAGCGGATTGAGGAATGTCGCTGGCTGGAGGATGTTTTGGGGTCGAAATCCCCCTATACAAAATAAAATGAGGGTACGTTTTCATACGTGCTTGAGAACAGTCAGTAATAAATAATAGAAACATTAAAAAAAATGAAAGCCAAAAAATCCATCTCTCTCATCTTTTCGATGAATTTGAAAAATCCCTAAAAAATATATTGGATTTGTCCAAAAAATCCACCCATGCGGCCATGTCATCATTTCCTAACATTTTCACTAAAATTAGTGTTTTTTGAGGTTATGAAACTACAATTTTTTTAAGAATCCACAGGCTAGACCAAAATCACAATACTAAAATTTAAAAAAATCTACACCCGATCATCTTATCTTATCTTTTTTGCATAACTTACCTCTCTTCCTCCGATCCTGCGGTCGGAATCCTTTCCGATAAGATTCCCGTCTCTTGCAACCGGTCAAACTCGTTTCTCCACTCGATGTTAAACTTTTCCATTACAATTTCAATAACCATGTCCCCTCCGAAGTTGGGTTGGTCGGTGGGCGAGGGAAGGTAGACGTGGACCTGGACCCACGTGGCAGCCACCACGTGCTCCCCCACAGCGGCAGGGTTCACATCCGCCTCGAAACGAAAACCACGCCTAGCCAGGACTCGAACCGCTTTGAAGTACGTGAACGCCAAGACAAACGAGAGGTAACAAGTTATCCCCAGTTTTACTAAAAGTTGCGCCAAGTGGATTAAATCTTGGAGGAAGGAAATTGCGTATTGGAAGGTCATGGCACTTTAGAAACTGTATGCAAAGCAAGGTAGTCAAATTTGAGCGATTTTTGGAGAAATTGTGTCCAAAAATGAGTTGAGGTTAAAGAATTTGAGAACTCGATGTGAGATGAGGAATGAACTGAACCGACTGAACATAAATCCTGCAGATCGGACAAGTTTTAGAGGAATTTTTTGATTTCATTCATCGCATCTAAATATATATGTAGTCAATAATAAGTATTTATTTTGTAGATATGTACATATCGTAATGCGTCTCACTCATTGAATCCACCGGATATAAAACAAAGGTGAATAGAATGCCAGACAAGATCGAGATAAGGCGAGGAGTACAGTCTGCGTAATTTACATATCTATCACCTACAAAAATACCTGAACTGACTCAGGGAAAGAGATAAGCTTCTTAATAAGTTTAATAACGATGAATGAACGAAAAAAGTTATAGAAACAAAATTGTAAATTTCGGAAGAAATTGTATCCTAAATTTTAGGTAAGAATTCGACCCGGTTTTTGTGAAGTTTGGGTCATTTTTGGAGAAATTGTGCCCCGAAATAAGTTGAGATTAGGTCACGTTTTAGTAGACTTTTTTAAGATATCATTTATCATCTAGTCAGTAATAAATATGTAGGTATAATAATTAATAATTCCTCTCATCTCATCCTCACCCGGAACAAAGTTTAACAGAATGAAAGGATAAAGCGAGGAAGACAATCTGCATACTTCGCATATTTGGACTGGACTGACTCAGGATGAGAGATAACGTTGATAAGTTTGATAAAAGGATAAAAGCAAGAAAACATATTGAGTTAGTAAAACAAAATTTTCAAATTTGAGGAGAAATTGTGTCCCAAATTTTAAACTTGAGGTAAGAATTCGACTCGGGGTTGGTCGTAAATTTTAGAAATTTGAGAGGAAAAATATGCTAAGGTAAGAATTTGAGAACTCTATGTGGAGGAATGCACCGAAAATATCTAAATTCTTGAGATTTGGAGAAGTTTTAGTAGAATTAGATATCATTCATTGCGCCTTATCAATAATACATATACATACATGTGATACATACATATGTACATACACATAAGTTTGAGATCAAGTGAGGAGGATAATCAGCATATTTTATTATAATACAACCTGGACTTACTCAGGATGCTAGATAAGTTTGATAAAGATGCATAAAGGCTAAGAAAGAACTTACAGTTTACACAGTAGCAGAAATAATCTTGCACGTAAAACAGGAAATGATAATTTATGCGATATTTTATACTTACATTGACCACCACACTTATGTCCATACATACTTCATAACTAGACATTAATTTAAATTTGCTCATTCTGAATGTCCGAGAGATCTGTCGTCTCATGGTTTCCCACCCCATCGACAATTTTAATCGGTGACACTAATCGGCAAATAATGCTCTCGAATAAACGCCTGAAAATTGTCCTTCGTCTCTTCGTCCATCTGTATATGTACAAATTAGCAAAATAGATAAGATCAGCTCACGATAATTCTTTAACTTGACCACTCACTAGACTCATACGATTATCATCCAGCTATTTTTGACAGGTTGGCTGCAATCGCATAAATCTACACCAGTGCAATACTTCAGTGATAAATAGATACTTCGTTCTGCAGATGAACATAATTTTTGTAAACTTAATACTCTACCTTTCTGAATTGTTTCAGAATTATTAAATCAGAAATCGGAAATATGTAATTAAATCTTAACGGACTTATTGGGACCTGGGAGGTCGATATCATGTTTGTCTTGCTGCAGAAATGTTCACCAATTGTCACTTGTGCATTTTTCACATTGCATTTCATAATGATGCCAGTGACAAAGGAATAAAGAAATTTCAGTAAAAGTAACTCGTTAAACTTCCTTCTTAGTAACCAAATGACACACGAGGAACTTCAAATACTATCGATAAACCCCAAATCTGGTTTTATTATCATGAGGAAACTACTGTAATATTCATATTTATTTGGAACCATTCAAAATTTCCATTCAAAACGGCACCAATTATAGCTCCAAAGCAATTGTATATGGAAGTGAAGTGGAGTCACTTAACTTAAATATTAGTACCTAAAACCCTCTTGATTTAGCACGTTATGGATTTACAACTTCTTCACAAATGCCGACCTTGAGATACTTTCCGATTTTCTATTTTGTGATTAACTCTTTACTCAAACATCGAGGCGTGGTTCTTGGGGTACAATTAGTCCAACAGGGCTGTCCATATAGCCGTAATTATGTATATACCTTAATAAGTAAATGATTAAAATTGAATCATACAATCCCTCTAGCTGACGATGAGAGCCTAAGCCCGCAAAGCATAAAAACAAGATTTACATACTGCATACAGTCACTCATTGGGACCAGAAATAATGGTGCGATGCTATAAATATATCACTGACAAATTCTTTAGATGCTTAAAACAAATAGAACCATTAATTTCAATTTCAATATGTGAATTTAATTTATTCCAATCAAGCACCAAGTGTGGTAATTAAGTGTTTTAAAGCTTAACCGAATTTAACATCAAATTTTTGAAATTGATGGGTTTTTGATATCCGGTAAAGTCTAACCGCCTCTTGGTCCGGTGTATCCGAGGGGGCAGAGAACGCCGAAAAGCGTGCACGATAACGGAACAAGGTTGAAAGTTTGGTTGTTAGAAATTGGGATATTGGAAAAGAAAAGCTTCTCCTCTGGATTCATGGACATTGCTTGGATCTAAAAAAAATTTTACCGAAATTAATATATATCAGTAATAACTAAGTAAACTAGGCACAAATATAAGATATGTCTCAACTTACCCCAACAACGAGGAGAACAGCAATCAAGAAATATTTGGCAAACATTTTGTAAAATTCTACCGTCGGCTTGAACTTGGGAATTTGAGAATTTGCAAAATTGATGAAAATGAATTGATAATGTGTGAAATGGGAAACTCACCGGCTTTTATATGGATCTCGACTAAAAATTGTTCATGACGTTTGGCCGGATGTGCGCATATAAATAAAATTGGTTCAATTGAATTACCTAAACCAGAAGGAAATATATCTTTTATGCAAAAATTAAAATTCGTAAAACAAATTATCTGTGCAATCGGTGTGCTAAATCAACATTTGCTCTATCCAGGCGTCACATTGATGCAAAATGTGTACCTTCTACCACTAATTTGTGTTAGAGGCAGGTTCACGATCAATTCGAGTCACATGCGGTTGGTTATTTAATTATTAAAAATGAAACTAATAAAAAACGGCATTGATCAATGTGTTCTGAACTTGTACCTGAAAATGTGTCAAACTGCCAGGTAGTTTCTGTGGTTGCCGAAAATCAATCAGGAAAATGTATGGACATTAATGGACAATGAAATACTTTAGGTATATTTGCAATACTAAATACACAGTAACGTTAACGTTATGGAAGCAGTGCATACCTGAAATTTTTGCGTATTTAGAAAGTATATACCCTTTTGTAGTTGAATTAAACCAACTCTATGTGCCCACGTCATGAACAGTTTTTAGTTAAGATGCATTTAAAAACCCGTGAGTTTCTCATTTCTCAATATCAATTCATTTTCGTAATTTTGCAATTCTCCATTTCCCAAGTTCTACCGACTTTCCAATTTCACAAAATGTTTGCCAAATATTTCTTGATTGCTGTCCTCCTTGTTGCTGGGGTAAGTTGATACATTTATTAAATTCGTGGTATAATTATTATATCAATTTCGATAAAAATTTCAAATATTTTTAGATCCAAGCAATGTCCATGAATCCAGAGGAGAAGCTTTTCTTCGCCAATATACCAATTGCCACTAACCAAACTTTCAACCTTGTTCCGTTATCCTGCACTCTGTTCGGCGTTCTCTGCCCCTTCGGCTACACCGGACCCAGAGGCGGTTAACTTTTGATTTTTAACACGTATCAAAAAATAATACATTTGATATTAAATTCAAATAAAATACTTAACTTGAAATACTGAACACGCTAGTATACATATATTTATTTAAAAGATGACACATGTGTCGGGGGGATCCATAAATTATGTCTCGCAAAAATCACGATTTTCTAGACCCCCTCCCCCCTTTAGCATGTGTCACATAGTCACGATATCATTGGAGCCTTGGACCCCCCCCTCCCCCCTCTCGCGTGACTTAACTTATGGACCGTACATCGCCAGATCCAATTAAAAGGTCAGTTTTACTACTCCGTAAAAAGCAAGTTGTACATAGTCCTTATCTTGAGCACAATGAAAAGATATAAGTTAATATTGTTAAGACCCCGAAATCGGCATACATCTTTAACTAATAATAGCTGATATTGCACTTATTGTATGACATGCATGCGAGAGAACGTGGAGATTACGTGTTAATAGCCCAAGCCTTATCAATGCTGACGAGTGAAGACACGAATCAATGAATGACTGAGTCATCTTCTTGACCCAACGTTTAATTCATTACTTATGTAAAGTTAGATCTGTTTAGCAATTAGATAACATCATACGACATCCTGTTGTTTTTGTACAATCGACATTATTGCGAACACTCGATCTTTATTCAATCATGGAACTTGGACTCCACACGACTAAATTAAGTGAGACGATACAATGTTGTTCTCATTGGAATATTGGAATGACCTACCCATTTTTGTGTGATAATTGTGCAACGACGACCCACGTAATGTACGGATGATAATGATAATGTAGAATTACTTGCCTTTTAATTAATCCACTTTTAATTATTACGACAACCACTTTTAGTTTAGCAATCCTGAATTGTGCAGGATTTTAGTTTAGTTACGAGTTGAGAGTGAAGATGTGAACTACTTCTTTTCCCATTTAATAAATCATCCAATACAGCCTCAACGGGAATGTGAGACTAATAATTATTACGGGTACTTTGTATAAAACCCCACAAGAATCAGTGCATCAATTTTGTGTGTTAACAATATTTATGAATACCTGCATATGCACAAAATTCAATTCGTCAAGACAAACAAATGTGTACGGCATGCCTTATCTACGTCCGCTCATGGCTTATCTACGCTACAAATGTTAACTACTCGCTTACTGAATTTTGTATTAATACTGTTACTCCTATTTATATAATTGGATTGATCGGCGTTGGAGGACATATTTTTGAAATTGAGTTTATTGACAAGCTTTCGGCACAAACAGATACCTTCATCAGGTCATAAATTGGGGTCAAAACATAAATGGCGAAGTACATACATATTTGTTTTGAAAATAATGCAGTTCAGTTTTGGTGATTATGGCGATTGATTATTTAAAAAAAAACTCTTATTTAGTACTATTTCCCGCCGTTAAGAAACTTAAGCTAGGCTTATGGTGATTTGGTTGGAACAAGTCCATCCAGGAGGTAAACGAGGTGATGACACCATACCAAAACTTGGGTTTGGAAGAGGTCATCGTTCGTTGTGACGGGATCCAAGCATCCCCCGTGTTGATCGCAGTCCTGGAAAGCGTGGCGATTTGGAAAGGATGGAAATTTATATAAATTTTCTTTAATGGATAAGTTGGATTATGCAAATTGTCTCGATCAGTGTTTAGATAATTGCTTGCATCTTTTCCACATTGTTGTACTACTGCAAGAAATTCACGGTGCAAGAAATGCAGGGTGTAAGAAATTGGAGCCATTTAGCAATTCGCCCGTTCATGCTTTAGCCTTGATTACTAAAGTAGCAATACAGATGATCTGCTAAATGACGCTTATTGGATGCATTTGTTGGACTCGTGCCACAAAGTATGTCTAAAACCAATGTATTGCTGTAATTCTTTTGCAGGTGGTTTTTAAGCCAAATACGACACATAATTTAAATTTAAATTAAAGTTCTTGCAGATTATTTATCACACCAAACTCTAGTGATACATAATTACTTGAAGTTGTAGTTATCTATATGTTTCAGGGGTTAAACGTGTCGACTTCCAGAACACTTGCATCAGGCAGGACGCCTTTACTGCCTACATTGAAGGCCTCATCTTACACAGTTGGGGATTTAAAAGTGCAAAAATCGGCGGCGGTTATCTGGATGTGGCACATAAATACTTCTGTTTTTATCTTGAATTTTGCAATTGGCATGAATTAAAAAATGTATGTGCTAAGGTTTGTTATTGATTATAAATTCAGGTGCCGAAAATTTTGGAAGTAATACAACCAATTTTTGAAGAAAGTGGTGCTCCAATTCGTGTCAAGGGAGGTGTAATTCGCAATTAGTTTAGAATTTAGGAAAGGATAGAAATTAAAGTTTTACCATATCGGAAGGAAATTTTTACTGACCGGTATAATTTTCATACCAAGCGGTAGCAACTTTAATATTGATAAATCTATACCGGCATAACTGTACCAGATTTCTAACAGGGTAGTAATAATTTAAAGCCATTCTCATATATGTACCGATGTATCATAGAGTTGGTGAAATAAGTAAAAGGATATTGAAACAGGATATTTATGGTGGTTTGCTAGCTTAAAATGCAGATCAATAAGAAGGAAAAGAGTTTGAAAAAAATAAACAACAAATTTGAATTTTCCAAGTAAGGTAGATATTTTCATACTTGTGATTGATGGTTTGGTGGATATTGTTCAATTAAGTAAGCTAAAGCGTTATTAGTACATGCATATAAATATGTATCTGTATACTGGTTTTCAAGACCAATAAAGCTTAATTACCCCAATTATATTTACCTAATACAGTTATCCTCGCATTTTCTTTAAATTTACTTAATTAGGTCAAGGTTGTTTAGTGCGATTATAAATAAATAGTTACATGTGTATGTTTCCATCTAAATATTTCTGAATGTATTTATATACATGTCCAACTTTGTCCAATTCATTAAAGATTTACAACGTACTAATTTTCTTACCTAGGTATTAGTAGTAATTTAAATACTTAAAATTTAAATTGGTTGACATTTAGCTAAATTCATATACATATGCACAGGCGTACATTCACTCAATTTAACCATTAAGGTTGACTTATTTGTATGTTATTAATTTTTCTAAATATAACCAGAAAGAATTTGAAAACCAAACTCGTATTTTTTAAGAAACCATGAAAGTTCCCAAATTTCCTAAGATAACTCTCCCATCACACACTCCTTTCCACGCCCTGCAAAGATTTGTCGTGCTAACTGAAAAACTTCCCGGTTGTATTTCGTGGAATCGGGAGACATGGCAACCAACGCCGAAACCCAGGGGGGAAACTACCCCTTGGTATGTCCTCTCATTTGTCGTAATGGCGACGACAATTGTGTACATTTGCATAATACTGCATCAAATTGTTGTGCATGAAAAAGATCCAGATCTTTCGCTCACTGCAGGGATTGTGTTTCTCATTGTGACTTTTCTTCACGCCTTAGTGTGCAGTTTCATTGTCACCTTTAATTTCAAAAAGACGGATATTTGCTTCGTCTTGTGGAACTTGGAAAATGTTGGGAAATCTTGGAATTATATTCGTAAGTATTACAAACATACTGAAGGTTTACTGGGCGTTGATGTGTCATAGATTTTTATCGCACTCTCCTATTATTTAGCTCTCTTAAAATCACGTCAATTTCAATGAGATTATGTATTTCATTGATGTTGAAATATGCAAATACAACTTTTGATAGTTAAAAGTAAAGTTAATTTCTGTATTGTTAAACCGTACCGTATACGGACAAATAATTTTATTTGCTTGTAATTTTTCACAGTAAATATTCTAGAAAATACATATTTTGATTCATGAGTCATTATGTTGTATTGTTCGATTTTCCAAGTTCAACTTTGGTCCGAAATAACCCTGTTTCTCCGTCTGAGTTCATGCACTCTCCATAATTTTATGATGTCATTGTTAGTTCGTTACTACTAATTTGCTCATTTTTAGAGAACGAAGCGAACCAAAAATACAATATGATCGGTCTCGTCCTTCACGGTCTTATTCTTGCCTTCATGGCTTTTCCCTTGTTCGCCTGCATGGTCCCCCTATTTCTCGACAATGTCGACCCGACATATTTTCTCATCCGCAACGTAAACTTTCTTCCATTCCGTGTCAAACTACTTTGTCGAATGCTAATACTATTTACTACCGTGTTTCAACTTAATATCACCGGCGTGGGATTTTTCATCATTCTCGCAAACGTGCTTCTCCGAGTGACCATCTCCCTCACAAGAATAACACCTTTTACACCGTCTCGCTATAGAAACGTCCAATTTTTCAAATTTTTCTTGCAATACCGCCAACTTCAAGTTATCAACCGTGTCTGGAATGACACGTGCTACTTGCTACGTGCTACGTGCTGCCGTGCTACAGGGCGACATCCTTCGCCCTGTTCCTCCCGCTCGTCGTGGGCGTCCCCTTGGGCTACACCTTGATCAAGTTGAGATCACTGATGCCGTTTCCTTTAACGTTTATATTTGCCGCGTTATTTTTCATCGGGGTGTCCATCGTACATTGCACGGTGCCCGTGATGGTGGAAATTACGATGCGGTCGAGAGATTTCAAAAGGGCGTGGAAACTGTGCAGGTTGTCGCCCTCTGGTGCCAAGCAGGTAGAGAGTTGTGCCGCATTAAGGGTCCATTTGGGAATGTTTTGTGTAGTAGGTGTGAAATCGAGAGGGATATTCTTTTCTATGATGATGTACTACACGCTGTCCTTGATTATAGCTTTGTAGATCAGTCCAGAAGTTTGTGGCGTGTAAAATAACACGGGCGTACTCAGGACGTCAAGCAAACTTGCGAAAATAAAAAATGTACGTATCTATGTATGTATTTACTTTTTAATATTTTCTTCCTACATACAGTCACAATTTTAATGAGACCCTTACCATAGTTGGCATTCTGTTCTCGCTAATAACCTCTAAAATACGAAAAATAAAATTTGGCATCAATGTGTGGGAAAGAAAAGTATGAGTGAGATCTGACGGGTGCATTTATGTGGTGGTCGCGTAGTACAAAGGAGTACGTCTGGGGCTATACCGGA